TGCTTTGGAATGGGATTTTATGTAGATGTCTGTTCATCTCTTCATCAGTGCTGCTTTATGTGCAATTGTCTCTTATTGACTTTCTCTTTTGATGAACTATCCACTACTGAATGTGGGTGTTAAAGACTTCTACTGTTATTGTATTGCTGACTACTTCTCTCTATAGCCTCCTAATATTTGTTTTATATATTTAGGTGCTCCTATGTTGGGTGCACAAACATTAAAAATGTTATATCCTCTTGTTGGAGTCACCCTTTTATCATTATATAATGGCATTCTTTGTTTCTTGTTACAGACTTTGTCTTAAAGTCTATTTTGTCAAATCTGAGTATAGTTATCCCAGCTTTATTTGATCTCCATTTGTTTGAGATATCTTTCTATCACCACACATTCAGTGAATCTTGTTTTTTTAATCCAGTCAGCCACTATATGTTATTGATTAGAGAATTTTAAATAATTATTTATATATATGGACTTGTACTGCCATTTTATTAATGGTTGCATGATATTTTGTAATCCTATGTCCCTTTCTCTTCTCCCTGTTTCTATCTTTGTGCTTTGATGATTTTTTTTATAGTGATATGCTTAGATTTTTTTTTTTAATTTTATGTATATACTATAGGTTTTTTTGCTTTGGAATTACCATGAGACTTACACAGAATATCTTATGTTTTTGACAGTCTGTTTAAAGTTTAAAACAACTTAAGTTTTAACATGTTCTATAGGCCCACTTTTTTACTCTCTGTAGTACTATTTGACATCATGATTTACATCTTTTTATCTTGTGTATCCATTAACAAATTATTGTATAGTTTTTCCTGTTTTTATCTTTTATCCTTCACATTAGATTTATCAGTGATTAATCCATCATCATTATAACTTTAAATAATTCTGAATTTAACAATAGCTTCTTAAAGATGTCTCTTCAGCATTTCTTGCAAGCAGGTCTAGTGGTAATGGATTTCTTCAATCAACTTTTGTTTGCTTGGCAAACTATCTTTGTTTAAATTAAGAAGGTCAACTTTGTCAGGTAAAATATTTTTGGTTGTCAGTAGCTTTCTTCCTTTATCAGAATTTTGACAGTATTATTCCACTCCCACTGGTCTATGAGATTTCTATTGAAAAATTTACTCATGGTTGTATAGGGGTTCTGTTGTAAGTATTAAATTGTTCTTCTTTTGCTGTTTTTAATAAAGAGTCTCTCTTCTTTTAGCTTCTGACAATTTAATTATAATGTATCTTGGTGTGAGCCTCTTTGAAAGTGAAAGTCGCTCAGTTGTGTCCAACTCTTTGTGACCCCATGTACTATACAGTCTGGAATTTTCCAGGCCAGAATACTGGAGTGGGTAACCTTTCCCTTCTCCAGGGGATCTTCCCAACTCAGGGATCAAACCCAGGTCTCCCACATTGCAGGCAGATTCTTTAGCAGCTGAGCCACAAGGGAAGCCACAAGTGAGTCTCTTTAAACTAATCTTATCTAGAACTCTGTGTCCTCGATCTGGAGGTCAGTATCTTTCCTTAGGTTAGGGAAATTGTCATTTCTTCCAATGAGTATTGTGTCTGTTTCTATCTCTTTTTTCCTTCTTGGATGCCTTAAATGTGATTATTGCTCTGCATGATACTGTCCCATAAGTGCCTTAAGCTATCTTCAATTTTTTTTTTCTTTTTGATCATCTGATTGGATGAATTCCACTTCCCTGTTTTGAATTTGCTGATCCATTTTTCTGCTCCATCTGTTCTGCTATTGAACCCCTTTTGAATTTTTCATTTCAGTTCCTATATTCCTCAGCACTGTGTCTTTGGTACTTTCTTATATTTTGTATCTCTTGTTGAAATTCTCACATTGCTACATTCTTCTAATCATGTCAAGCATCTTTACGATCATTATTTTCAACTCTTCATAAGTCTCTTACCTCGGTTTCATCAATGGCGTTTTCTGAGTCTTCGTCTTGTTTTGTCTGTAATACGCTTCTGCTTCTTCCTTTTCCTGGTGTCCCTGTGCTGGTTTCACTGAACTGCACACAGCACGCATCTCTCTCAGTCCTGAATGAGTGGCCTCATGAAGGAAGTGAACTGTATCACTTGACACTGCCCTAGCTCCTGGATTACGTCTCAAACTTTTGTGATCACCTAAGCAGCCTTCTTATTCTTAGTGGCTTTCAGCAGCTGAACTGTCAGTCTCTCAAACTGTAGGGTCTTACTCAGTACCTTCATGTGGTCTGATTGGAAGCTGGACATTCAGGCAACAACATTTAAAGTATGCAAATATACATCTTTCAGGGGATGATTGGGAGATGCGCATTTTCCTCTCCTATATAGGTACTGAACCCTAGGGTGGAGAGCCAATTAAGGATTATTTGTTTGTTACCATACTGTGGAAATCAACCACAAGCACTGTTACACCAAAGCCAAGCTGTCAAGAGATGCCTCCTCTCTGTGGCGCCCACAGGAGCCGGGTGACAGGCATGTGTGCAAACTCCTTTCTAGGAGGTATCAGCAAAGTGGATGGGGGCGAGGGAGAGCACAAAGGCGGTGCCCACAGGCCTCTGAGGACTCTAGACTGCACTGCAGCTGGCCCTGGATATGTGTCAAATTAAGAAACTACACTTCTTTCATGATAAGACTAGGTTTCTTTCACAAAAAGACTGGGCTGCTTTCAGTCTGCTACAGTTGTGCTGGGATCTGGGAGTTAGACATAGCGAATCAACATTTAATTATCTCTGAACGTCCCCAGTGGTCCAGTGGTTAAGAATCCACCTGCCAATGCAGGAGATGGGCTCAATCCCTGACTTGGGAAGATCCCATATGCCATGGGACAGCTAAGCCCATGGGCCAAAACTACTGAGCCTGCACTCTGGAACCCACGCGCCGCAACTACCGAAACCTAGGCGCCCTAGAGCTAGAGCTGTGCAGCAAGGGAAACTGCAGCGCGAGGCCTGGGTGCGGCCACTGGAGTAGCCCCCACTCGCCACAGCTGGAGGAAGCCTGCACACGGCAACAAAGGTCCAGTGCAGCCAAAGGCAGACGAATAAAAACGTGAAGAAGTTTTCTCCGAGTTTCTTATAGCCTTGTGGGTCTTATGTACGTGAAATCCATAACTTTCAAAACCACTTATTTGGGGTGTCCACCATTCTGTGAAAATATTAAGAACTGGGGTATCAATTACGGGGTCAAGAACCAGTCACCCGAGGAGAACCTGAGAATTGTAAGTTCCCTCCTCTTTGTGTATTGTGCTGGGGGTATGGTTTACGGTGATATTGTATCTCACATCCCCCAGTCCCTTTCAATGTGCATTTTTTCTCATCTGCCCAATGTGCAGTCACTCAGCTAGTGTCCAGATTTCTTTCAGGGGGAATTGTTCTGTAGGTAGCTGTAGACTTATTGTCACCATGGGAGGAGGTGAGTTCAGGAGCCTGTTCTGACACCATCTTCAACTGGCCCATAATAAGTAATTAAAATGTATTAGGTGATATTATATATATTTTTAATTTATTTTTTATTAAAGCATAGTTGAATTATAATGTGTTAATTACTGCTATGCAGCAAAGTTATTCAGTTATATGTATATATATGAATATGAAATTATTATATGCATATATATGAATATGAAATTATTATATGTATATATATATATGAATATTAAAAATATATATTTAAATGGTTTTCTAGTATGGTTTATCACAGGATATTGAATATAGTTTCCTATGCTATACAGTAGGACCTTGTTATTTACCTATTCTCATAGTGCTCATTCGGTAAAGCGTCTGCCTGCAATGTGGGAGACCCAGGTTAGATCCCTGAGTTGGGAAGGTCCTCTAGAGAAGGAAATGGCAACCTACTCCAGTATTCTTACCTGGAGAATTCCATGGACAGAGGGGCCTACAATCCACGGTGGGCTACAATCCATGGGGTCATAAAGAGTTGGACACGACTGAGTGACTAACATCCATATACCAGTTTGCATCTGCTAATCCCAAACTCCCAACTCAAACCCTTTCCACCCCCATCCCCACCGTGGCAACCAGTCTATTCTTTATGTCCTTGATTCTGTTTCTATTTCATAGATAGATGCAGATAATTGTATATTTTAAACAAATCCATTACTCTGCTGTACAATTCAGGTTCTAAATCTACTACTGGAAAGGAACTTTCCAGAGATATAAAGATAGATTTACAGATATATTCTACAACTATCAGTTTTCTCACTAATCTCCTTATATCTGGAAGGAAGACACTCTGTTTCATGAATCTACACAGTTATCTTTCCCTTGGCAGCAGACCTGAAGCATCTCACTAGGTCCTAAGTTTATTCTTGAACATGAAAAGGCCTGGCAACATCTGGCAGAGTCAAAGGTATCACTTAGCACAAGCAGGAGTGCTCTTCTAGGAGCCAGGCTGCTGGCCCGCTGGCCAGCACTCTGTGCACTGCAGTGTCCCCTCATCGGAGTGGTAATTCACGGTCCATGGAACAGAGCCCGTGGAACACAGGTTTTATAGGATTCATCTGAACTCCCAAGGGGAACTGCGCAGGAATACCATTTTCTAAAATATCCCCCTCCAAATTAAAAAATTTCACTCTATTTAGAAATGCGTTACTATGGCTTCCCTGGTGGCTCAGTGGTAAAGAATTCGCTTGCCAATTCAGGAGACATGGGTTTGATCCCTGAGCCCTGCAGATCCCCTGGAGAAGGAAATGGCAACCCACTCCAGTATTCTTGCCTGGGAAATTCCATGGACAGAGGGACCTGGCAGGCTACAGTCCACAGGGTCACAAAAGAGTTGGACGTGACTAACTGACTAAACAACTGTTAGCATTAATACATGATGATAAATTAACATGAACTATTGCTGGTAGCTCTTTGCCAGTGTCAAGGTTGTCAGAAATTGGGAAGAAAATAGCTGAAGCCATAGAAGTCAGGTAAAGAGATAAATTCCTTGAAACGATGTCTAGCGAGCCTAGGGAACAAAGGTAAATTCTGACTGTTTTCTTTCAAAGTTAGAGTCCTTATCATGAAAACAGAGGGCAGAGAAACAGCATCTCACCACTCGACCCTAATCCTGAGAGCTAAGCTGCCGACAAACCTCACCGATCCCGTGCCACAGAGTCTGTTGGACACAAACAGACGTCACGGTACAGTCACTGAAAGTGTTTTACGTGTGGTTGGTGGTTGGTGATACACCTTTCTCTGCATATCACCAGCTCCTTTATCAATGTATCAGCTGTCCCATCTTTCTAGAAACATAACCAATACAATGAATACTTACCTTCTGTAAGTGCAATTTGCTGATGAATCTGAATCTGATCTGCCTATTATAGTAAACAAATAAATTAAGCTGTTAAGCATATATATTTTTATATTTTAAGAATTAATATACATAATCATCAATATATATCAATACTTTCAGGGTTCAATAATACTTTATATTATTTTTTGTTGCAAAAATAATGGTAATTTTTTTCAAAAACATCAATTGAATGTGTTCACTATTAATGCAGGAAAATTCAAGTGAAATAAAACTGACTTACATTGAAAGTTCTGTAAATATAAGAACACACTGCTGTCTCTAGAAGGGGTTTAGGAACTATTAAGACCACTTTAATCTATTTAAAGAGTATTATTACTGCAAATCTCAAGATTTTTATTTTTAAGTGTACATGATACCATCATTTCTAGTAGGTGATAAACTTGCCCTACATATTCCTTGAGTCCTGATTTAAAAAATATCCATTGACGGTATTTCTTGGAGAATATATGAATTAATAATATTCCTATATATGATGCCCAAGTACATTTTAAGATATAAAATTAGTTCAGAGATTGTAAGAGACACTACTCATTTTTTGAAATATAATTGGATGTCACAGGAATATTTAGTTTCATATAGTTTGGGCACACAGAACTTCCTACTCTACTTTGCATATGAGATTTCTAACATCAAGCAAATGTAAAACATCATTTTGCTGAGATAAGCTATAATGTAGTACACTGAAATCCAGGACTTTTCCCTCTTTGTGGCTGCACTTATAAAATTGTCTTCAAAAGAATAAAAGCAACATCAAATGTAATTCTATTAAAGATAATGAAAAGTTAAGTCATATACAAATTGTTGAATTGAACACTAAGTTATATTTGATGTTTGTTTCTAATTCCTAGAAAGTTATTCAGTGTTGGGGTTAAAAGACACAGGATCCAGAACCAAAGTTCCAGAAGTAAAAAGTCACATCTATTTCCTTTGTATTTTGATGCTGTGCAAATCATGTAACTTTTCTAGGCCTTTGGTAAATGGTGATAACTATAGCTCCTACATATTATAAAGTTTCTGAGGGATTAGATGCATTAATATGTGTATTACACTGAGGAACAAAGCTTGGAAAATAGTGCTTAATAAAGGTTTGCCATTGAGTATTGTTGCAGATTATATTCAAGATCATAGAACACACAGTTCCTAAGACATTTATATTTTGGTTTACTAGTAAACCTCACCTAGAAAAATTAGAGTAATTTGTTAGCAAGAAATGTTGTTTTACCATTTCAGACTTTTGTGAATTAGTTATTTGTTCATGTCATTAAGTAAACTGGAAGCACAGTTTTACCTGTTAAGAGTCTTTGATGTATTTGGAATTACCTGATTTAAACATTCCAACCCTGGTGGACAGTCTGATGAGAGTGGGATCCGTGCTAGCTCTTCAGGCACACCTGGCTGGAGCTGGACAGGAATGACAGCCGCTCCAATCACAGAAAAGCCAGGTGGCACGATTATATATTCAGACTGGGCTCTGGGGGTGCCAGGCTGTGAGGTGGAATGATGGTCAGGGACAGTATTCTCAGCCTGGGTCTCAGAACAGACAGCCGTGGGGGCACTAGAGTCATCTTTGGGGGCAGGGGAGTGGCTGTTTTCTAGAGATGCTGAAATATGAACAAATGAAATTGTTTTTAATTGAACAGAAAATTGAAAACTTTAATTTTTTAGGATTACTTCAGTTATCTACAAACTACAGTTTCCCCTCAGAAATCCTGTTTCTATTAAGCTTAAAGTTTGTGTTTTTATCATTAGTAATTTTCAATAAAATATCTGGAGTTACATGTCCACTTTTATTTTGAGGGTTTGGGGAATGTGTGTAAGGCCCATAGCCTTATTTTTATTGTTTAAAATTCAGATGAAAATATGCATGAAACCTAAGAAAGTGGGGGAAAAAAAAACCAGAAACATGATCTGGAGTCATGTACACAGAGATCCTAGAATGTTTTCATGGAAATAAGAGAGAGCATTGGGTAAGGGCCCTGGTGACTCAGAGGGTAAAGAATCCGCCTGCAATATGGGATTTGACCTGTGTTTGGATCCCTGGGTCTGGAAGATCCGCTGGAGAAGGAAATGGCAACCCACTCCAGTATTCTTGCCTGGAAAATCGCATGGACAGAGGAGCCTGGTGGCCTCGAGTTCACGGGGTCGCAGAGCGGCTAAGCACAGCACCAGGGCCCAATGTGATGGCTTGGAGCCTGCACTTCTAGCCCAGAAACACCTTACGATACATGATAATTCTGGAATTCTAACAAATGGCACTTCCCATATGTATAAAATTGGCAGTGGTTCTGTTCCCTCAAGGCATGCTTGCCAGGGTCCAGAGACGTTTTCACTGCCCCAGCCGCAGAGGAGAGCAGTACTGGCAGCCAGTGGACAGAGGCGAGGGACGCTGGTAAACACTCACTGTAAAGTGCTCAGGACAGCGTCCTGCAGAAACAGCACCATCCAGCCCCAAAGACCACAGTGCTGCTGTTGACAGCCCTGGTATAGAGGTAGATGTATGTCATTCCATCTAGTATTGTTCAAGTACTTGTCTGGCTTAACAACTTACCTGGGGGTTTAATCCATGGTGTATTCTGTTCCTACGATGCTGTGCATTAAAACATTTTAAATTATGACATTTGAGTTACAAATTTAAACTTTACAATTTCACACCCTCAGCTCTCCAGAAAATAGAATTTGAGAAGCAAGGAAGGTAAAAAGCATGTTAGGAAAATTTGTCTTAAGTATGTCATAAGCACAGTATAGGAAGAAATTTAATAAGTGTATACTCTGTATTCCACATGAATTTGTAATTACAATAAAATTTCATAGGAAATAAAGAAGAAGAAGAGAAATGGCTAACACTAAAGATGTAAAGACACAGGATCAGCTCATCTTGGGAGCTGCTAAATCAGGCGTTTCTATTTTATTCCAAATGTGATTGACAGGCCTTAGAAGATTTTAAGCAGAATAACAAATTTCATGGTCCGATTTATGTATTACAAGGTTTGGGGGAATACAGACCATTGGAATTTTTAAATTTTTTATTTTACTTTATATCAGAATAAAGTAGATTTATAATGTTGTGTTAGTTTCAAGTATATAACAAAATGATTCAATCACAAAGTATTTATTTTTTTGCAGATTCTTTTCTATATTCATTATTACGGAGTATTAAGTAGAGGTCCCTGTGCTATACAATAGATTCTTATTAGCTATCTTTTTTATTTATAGTAGTATATATATGTTAATCCCGATCTCCTAATTTATCCCTTTTCCCTTTGGCAACCATAAATATGTTTTCTAAGTCAGTGAGTCTATTTCTGTTTTGTAAATAAGTCCATTTGTATCTTTTTTTTTTTTTTAGATTCCACATATAAGTGAAATCATGATATTTGTCTTTGATTTATTTCACTTCATTTGATAATCTCTAGGTTCATTCATTTTGCTGCAAATGGCATTGTTTTGTTCTCTTTATGGCTGAGTAATATCCTGTTGTATATATCCATTCCTCTGTTGATGGACATTTAGATTGCTTCCATGTCTTGGCTTTTGTAAATAGTGCTTTAGTGAACACTGAGGTACATTTTATCTTTTTGAATTAGGGCTTTCTCTGGATATATGGCCAGCAGTGAGACTTGGATCATATAGTAGTTCTGTTTGTAGTTTTCTAAGGAGCCTCTATACTATTGTCCATGGTTCCTGTATGAGTTTACATCCCCACTAACAGGAGGGTTCCCTTTTCCCAACATCCTCTCCAGCATTTATTGTTTGTAGACTTTTTGATGATGGTCATTATGATGAGTGTGAGGTGATACCTCATTACAGTTTTGATTTGTATTTTTCTAATAATTAGTAATGCTAAGCATCTTTTCATGTGCTTCTTGGTCACCTGTATTTTTTTTTAAGAAATGCCTATTTAGATCTTCTGCCCATTTTTGATAGGGTTGTTGGTTTTTTTTATATTGAGCTGCATAAGCTGTTTGTATTATATATTTTGAAGATAAATATAATTCTTTGTCAGTTGCATTGTTTGCAAATTTTTTCACCCATTCTATGAGTTGTCTTTTTGTTTTGTTTATGATTTCCTTTGATGTGCAAAAGCCTATAAGTTTGATTAGGCCCCATTTGTTTTTGTTTTATTTGCATTTCTCTAGAAGGTGGATTGAAAAAGATATTGCTGAGATTTATGTCAAAGTGTTCTGCCTATGTTTTCTTTTTATGAGTTTTATAGTATTTAGTCTTACATTTAGGTTTTTAATCTAAATACACGGAAATATATGGTGGTACAGAATGTTCTAATTTTGTTTTTAAACATGTGGTTGTCTGGTTTTCTCAGCACCACTTATTGAGGAGACTTTTTCTCCATTGTATATTCATTCTTGTCTTCTTTGTCATAGATTAATTGACCATAGGTTCATGGGTTTTAAGCTTAAATAATGTATGAAAATTGAAATCACATCAAGCGTCTTTTCTGATCACAATGCTGTAAGGCTGGAAGTCAAATACAACAAAAAAACTCAAAAACCATAAACCTGTAGAGACTAAACAATAGGCTATTAAAAACCAATGAATCAGTGAAGAAATCAAAGAAGAAATTAAAAAAATACTGAGACAAATTAAAATTAAAACGCAACGTTCCAAAACCTAAGAGATGCAGCAAAAGCAGTTCTAAGAGGAAAGTTTATAGCAATACAATCCTACCTCAAGAAACAAGCAAAGTCTCAAATAAACAACCTACCCTTACACCAAAAAGCAACTAGAGAAAGAAAAACAATAAAACTCAAAGTTAGCAGAAGGAAAGAAATCATACAAATCATACAAACCACAAAAATACAAACTATCTTAAGTGACTGCTACAAGCAATTATCTGCCAATAAAATAGACAACCTGGGAGAAATAGAAAAATTCTTAGAAAGGTACAATCTTCCAAGACTCAACCAGGAAGAAACAGAAAATATGAAAAGACCAATCACAACTGTGGGAATTGAAACTGTGATTAAAAATTCTCAACAAACAAAAGTCCAGGACCAGACAGCTTCACAGGTGAGTGAAAGTGAAAGTTGCTCAGTCGTGTCCAACTCTTTGTGACCCCAAGGACTATACAGTTCATAGAATGCTCGAGGCCAGGGGATCTTCCCAACTCAGAGATCCAACCCAGGTCTCCCACATTGCAGACAGATTCTTTACCACCTGAGCCACAAGGGAAGCCCAAGAATACTGGAGTGGGCAGCCTATCCCTTCTTCAGCAGATCCTCCCAACCCAGGAATCAAACTAGGGTCTTCTGCATTGCAGGTGAATTCTTTACCAACTGAGCTATCAGAATGCTTTACAGGTAAATTCTCTTAAATATTTAGAGAAGATTAATGTCTATCTGGGCTTCCCAGGTAGTGCTAGTGGTAAAGAATCCACCTGTCAAAGAGAAGTAAGAGAGGTATGTTCAATGCCTTGGTTGGGAAGATCCCTGATGGAGGAAATGGCAACCCACTCCATTATTCTTGCCTGTAGAATCCTATGGATAGAGTAGCCTGGTAGGCTACAGTCCATGGGGTCGCAGAATCGGACACGACTGAAGCAACTTAGCATGCACACACATCTATATTTCTGAAACTATTTCAAAAAATTGCAGAGGAAGGAACACTCCCAAACTAAGCACTGGGATTTAAAATGAGAAGTGCAAATGCAATCTCTGTCCTAACTACCTGATGGGAAACAGAACTGTATACTTACCCTTAACGTAAAGAGATAGAACACCAGTGTGATGAAATGACTAACTAGAATCAGAAACAAATCCTCTAAAGGGAGGGACCCGGGTTTTATGACTACGCATGTGCCAAAGGACAGTGTTTGGAAGGGGACAGGGAGGAAGGAAGGGAACAGGGACAGCCTCCCTGAGACCATCAAGAGACCTAAGGCATGTAAAGTTGTTTAGTAGGCCAGTGGCAGGGAATGAACATTTCAGAAAGAAGTCCTAGGATAATAACAAACACAGAGTCTTTAAAAATCTGAAAAGAGGAAGCAACCTAGATGCCCATCAGCAGACGGATGGATAAGGAAGCCATGGTACATATACACCATGGAATATTACTCAGCCCTTAAAAAGAATTCATTTGAATCAGTTCTAATGAGATGGATGAAACTGGAGCCCATTATACAGAGTGAAGTAAGCCAGAAAGATAAAGACCATTACAGCATACTAACACATATATATGGAATTTAGAAAGATGGTAATGATAACCCTATATGCAAAACAGAAAAAGAGACACAGATGTACAGAACAGACTTTTGGACTCTGTGGGAGAAGGTGAGGGTGCGATGTTTCAAGAGAACAGCATTGAAACATGTATACTATCTATAGTGAAACAGATTACCAGCCCAGGTTGGATGCATGAGACAAGTGCTCGGGCCTGGTGCACCGGGAAGACCCAGAGGGATCGGGTAGAGAGGGAGGTGGGAGAGGGGATCGGGATGGGGAATACATGTAAATCCATAGCTGATTCATGTCAATGTATGACAAGACCCACTGTGGTACTGTAAAGTGATTAGCCTCCAACTAATAAAAATAAATGAAAAAAAAAGAAAAAAAATCTGAAAAGAGGCCGATCTACCTGAACAGAAGAC